CCAGTGGAAGTACCTATTATGCATTAAAGGCTACCAAGGCGCAAAGCATGAACAACTTACTATCAAAACGAATGTAAAATTGAAAACCAGTAAGTTCCACGAAAATGATGATAAAATCACACAATGGCCAAATAAGCAATAACACACACCCTCAAAGCAAACAGAAAGAGTTGCTTCCTGTGCTCAAGTTATCTGAAAATATCCAGCAGCAGAAAGTGCCATGACTGTCAATGGGGATATACCACACTCATCAAATCTGTAGAAACAAAAACCCACAGATTCACCATTACAAAAACAAACTATACATAAATCTATATTTCAAATTCTCTCACTAGAACAAAAGAAAAACCAGTCGAACATCTTAGCTTACCTTTTTTGACTATAAATTGTTTCTCCCTCCCCTCCTTCTCTTCATTTTCGTAGCTCCACTTGCTCTGAAAAATTACTCTCCTTCCCAAGTTCCTTCCCAAGTTCCTTTAGTGGAACTCTCTTCCTTATTTTCATATCACGTTTCCCCATCAATGCACCACTCCCCAACTTCCTAACATCCCTGCAACCACCCACTCCTTCCACTTCATCTTCCAAATCCAAATCTGATTCATCATCACTCGTTAAGCTCTCGTTCCTCCTAAACCTCCTCTTCTCCAAACGATTCTACTCTTTATAAACTTCCTAATAGTATAACGATTCACACTCTTGCTTTTACAACCATGACCACCATGACCAAAACACTTCAAGAAATTATCATTTGCAACGAAATGTTAATTAGAAGAACTCTCATTCTTCTTGAACCACCTCTGTTCTATATTATGCCCTGAATGTTTCAAAGAATCATCCCTTGAACCAATGTGATTCCGATTAAAAGAACTCTCATTTACTCTAAATTTCCAGTTTCTCTGAACTGAATAACTCCTACTCTTAACAGAATTATTACCATTGACAATACTTAATTTCCCATTTTCTCTACAAGTATCAGATATCAGTTTCCAAGCACCGTTAATTTCTTGCTGTTGCGTTGAATCGTGGCCGTTCCTGTTCCTGTGGTGTCAACGTACCGTCGTTTTCGTTCTACAAATACCCTGCCACTTCTTTAATGAACGGATCAGCTAGGGCTTTGATGTGGTTGTTGGGGTTCATGGGCTTATATTTGGGAGGATTTGATCGAGTTTCCCGGCTAGTTTGGCTCGGATTTGAGATCGAATTCTGGCTTGATAAAGGATGGAAGAGTCTTTTCTCTTTCTCCTGAGCTTCTTGCTTAGGCAGCAGGAAAAAGTCCGTGACCGCTTCCTAGAGTGAAAATATGGGTTTAGAGGAAAACCAAGAGAGTTTTGAAACGTTGGGAATTAGTTTTAAACCGGTGGAATGGGTGAAAATATATTCATATATTAATAAATTTATATATAATAAATTTTTTTTTAAATGATAATGTAAATTATAAATATTATTAACATAACTTATATAGTTATTTTTTTATTTAAATTGTATATTTTAATATAATAAAATAATTTAATTGCATATTGAATATTTTTATGTAATGTTTATCAAATTTTTTTAAAAAAATTCAAACTGTAATTTAATTCATCATCACTCGATAAGCTCTCGTTCCTCCTAGACCTCCTCTTCTCCAAACCTACTCTTCAGAAACTTTCTAATAGTATGACAATTCACATTCTCCCTTTTACCACCAAGACCACCATAACCAAAACAAATTATCATTTGAAACGAAATCAGATTCATGTTGATTAGAAGAACTGTCATTCTTTTTAAACCATCTCTATTCTATATTACGGCCTGAATGCTTAAAAAAATAATCCCTTGAATTGAAGCCTTCTGATTAAAATAACTCTCATTTACTCTAAATTTCCATTTACTCTAATTATTACTATTTACACCACTTAATTTCGTTTTTTCTCTACAATTATCAGATATCAGCTTCCTTACATCAAGCGTTGAATGGATTAATCCTGACCGTTGATTTCTTGCTGTTGCAATGAATCATAGTCGTTCCTGTTCCAGTAATGTCAACGAATCGTAGTTTTTGTTCGACAAATATTCTGCCACTTCTTTCATGAACCGATCAGCTAGGGCTTTGATGTGGTCGTTAGGGCTCATGACTTATATTTTGTGGGATTTGAACTCGGGTCGAGTTTCGGCTACTTTGGCTCGATGTTGGGATCGGATTTTGGTTTGATAAAGTTGTTTCTCAGAGTCTTTTCTCTTTCTCTTGCACTTCTTTTTCGTGGAGACGCTTCCATTGCTACTTGTTTACGCCGCCAGGAAAGGTCGTGGACCATCTCCCATGGGTCGGGTGAAAATATAGATCTAGAGAAAAACCGAAAAAGTTTTGAAGTGTTGCAAGAGAACGATTAAGAACATGATTGGGATTTAGGGTTAATATGATCGAGGTTTACGGTTCAAGGTAGAATTAGTTTTAAATCATTGGGATGCATGAAAATATATTCATATATCAATAAATATAATAAATTTTTTTAAAATGATAATATAAATTATAGAGTTTATGAATAATTTATAACTTATATAATTATTTTTTTTAAGACTTATATATTTTAATATAATAAAATAAGTAAATTATATATTGAATATTTTTATGTCATTTTCATCAAATAAAAAAAAAACTTAACTGTAATTTATTGAGTCCAAATATTATAATTATTTTTTATTTAAATTTATATATTTTAATATAATTAATTAATTAATTACATATTAAAATTTTTATGCAATTTTCATCAAATCTAAAAGAAAACTTAAACTATAATTTATTGAGTTCAAATAATTTCTAAATAGAATATAATAATATTTTTAATTTCAAAAAATTAAAAATTTTGTTATCTTAAAATCAATCTCGTATATAAATTTTTTTATGAAAAATTCTTTAAGTTATTGTTTAAGGAAATATGCAGCAATTTATTTTTCAATATTTCTTTTGTGTTAAAAAATATATTGTAAATGTTGCTTTTATGTTAAAATTGCCCATCTGTTTTATCTATTTAATCTTGTGCTTAGACTACATATGTAAATCTTATTTAATTATCAATAAGCTACAAATAATTTATTAAATAAACCATATAAATTCAGCAAAAAATAATATATATATATATGTGAAATAGATCACGTAAAACCAATTATAATTTTGCAATAAAAAGGCAAAATGATTCTTAAGAAACAATAAAAAATATAAAAAAAAGTTAATATCATAGTTAAAATGATATAAAATATAAGTATAAAAAGATAATAATATTTTAGCAACATAGACTAAGAAATAACGTAAAGTAAAAATTGAAGATAGTTGAGTGGTGATAAAAAAATATAAAGTTAGTGAAAGACAGTTAAAAAAGCATTACTTGTCAACATTAAAACCTAAAGCTATTTATACAAAAGGTCTGTAAGACAACTTTAAATTAAAAAAATTAATATTGAAATAATAAAAATTATGAGTGAATAAAGACAAATAATTATTTGTTGATTGAGAATGAAATATTTTATTTCATTAAATTAATTATGGAGAATTAATTAAATATATTTGCTTTTTATATTTATATATGAAATATATAAAATACTCAAATGAATATTATATTTAATCAAATATAATTGTATCAAATAATTTATTAGAGAATCAACTCTTTTATAATTATAATTTTAATATTTATTAATTATATTTTTAAAAAAATTCTTAAATCATTAAATAAAATATTTTATGACCATAATTATAATGTTTATTATTTTTTAATCATTTACAAAAGAAAAATAGCGTGCATCTAAACAGATTGGACCACAGTTTATTAGAAATATCATATGCCAACTAATTTTATTATTGTTTATTTTGTAACTCCAATTGCTGTTGAAATTATAGTGATTATTAAATTATTTGGATCATTAAAAAATGTTTAATGACCGTAATTATAGTGTTTATTAATTCTTTTAATCATTAAAAACTTTTTTAATTATAAGTTTCATTGATTTAGTTTTGGTCTATAATTTAGGATAATTTAGCTTGTCCAAAAAGTTGATTTTTACTTTAATTTTTAAAAAATAAATTTACTCTTAAAATTTTGTGCCTATTAATACAATTTTTATTATTGGATCCATTTTTTTGTTCAATTTACAACAATAAATGCCAACACATATCTAAGGTATTTCTCAAACATAATAGACACCAATTAATGTAAAAGCCTATGTGCTACAATCTCAAAATTAATAGACACCAATTTTGTTTTTTGGCACATTTCTAACTCATTTCTCAAATTTAATAGACATTAGTTAATTTAAAATTATAACACATTTCACAAAATTAACGTATTTCTTAAATTTAAAAGAAAATTATAATCATAATTGATGAAAATTATACGTTAAGTGATTAATGTAAATTTCAATTTCATTTTGAATTTTCAAAAGAAATGAGCAAATAAATCAATTAACATAATTCTTATTACATATATTAATATTTAAGAAATTAATATATTTATAACTTAGATAATGAATTAAAATTTTATTTTCAAGGATATGTATAAGATAATTGAATTTCATTTAATATTGGAATAATTGGAATTTAGAAATTGTTAGTCAATGCAAATTAATTAGTGTAAGACATTCATATTTGTTTGTATTTTCCCTTGTGTATCATATCCTACTTTCTTCATGACATTAATCTTTCACTATATTATTTGAGATCATACATGTTCCTGGCAACAATTTGTTACCAATTAAAAAAGCTGATAAAATTTTATAGTCAATATTAATCACATAGCAAATATATATACATTTATACATAAAAATTATAAATTATTTCATTAAAATATAAACTAAAAATCATATCGACATAATTGAACGAAATGTCTAGATTAATTTCTAAAGCATATCAACATATTTATATATTATACTAATATTATTTCAAAAACTAAAAGCATACTAATATATTTATATATTATGCTCAATCTGGATACTCAAATATCATTAAATTAAATTAAATTATGAAACTTGAAAAAGAAAATGGTAGTTCTTGTTTCCCCTTACAATTCCCCTTAATGAATTGTTACCCTTGTGTCAGAACAAGACAAATTTTTACATGATTGAACATTAGGCTTACATTGCTTCAGACATAAGGCTAAGCTGCAAACTTCCAACCCACCTCATATCAGACTGCTCCATTCCTCCATTTTCCTTCGACGAAAGAGGAAAAAAAAATCAGTTGAAAGCTTTAAAAAAGAGAAGAATACAGTAGTTAATTTCACTGACCAAGAAAGGAGCTGAATCGAGTTAAACTCTTTCAGAATTTAGACTGGCTCTGAGCAGCATTTCGTCTTGCACAGCATCCCACCATGTATATCATTGACTGGCATTGCAAAACAAAACACAAGAGTTAGCTTTAACATGATAAGTGCTGGGACGAAATCTTGTCGCCTAAATCAATGTAAGGTTCTTGCTTTCTTTTGTTTTCATTGATGTAAGAAGGGAAAAAAAAATTTGAAGATGGTCAGAAATTCGTAAAAAGAATCTTACTAAGACAACAAATAATGCCAAATTAAAGATTGCAACAACTCTCCACTCAGTTTTCATGTATTGTGCAACTCCGGCCCTGAAAGGCGATTGAAAGAAAGCAAATGGCACTGAGAAATGTATACAATAGATGAAATGGAAAGTGGGGAAATCAAAATGCTTACTTGCAAGAATCACAATTGTAGCACTTCACAGCTCGAGAGTTTTTGTAAAGCTTGCAGTCATTATTGGAACTAATTGGATGAAAGCTCAAGTCATAATATGAAGCATTGATAACAGGATAACCGCATCTGTGATCAAGTTGAATGTCAAGAAAAATTATTCATTAAATGAATAAAAAGAATGGAATAAGCTTCAATGTACTGCACAAACCATGATTAAATATAGGTGCAATTGCAGAGAACCAACCCAACCCAAAAAAATAAAAAAAGACACCTACTCAGAAGGCGGCCGGCAGCAACCAGCTTCGATGGGCGTTAGTTTTGCCATTTTATACTGCTTAAGAGTCTGAAAATCAGAGTTGAAAACATTAGAATCGATGCAGAGAAACAAATAGCACTCAGGATTTAAATGGTAGACCTTGTATTGTTTTGCTAGGTTGTTGCAGTCCTCTGATTTCACAAGACAACTCTTCAAGTGCTTCCAGTTATTCGTATTATTGAGCTGACAAAAAATGCTAAATATGGCTAAACAAAGTGGAAATTACATTGCCCATAAATTGAAAGCCTCACCTGCTTTAGAAACCATGAACTATAGTCTTTAAGTTGATACTCCTTGTATCTGATAAGCAAAGAAGATAAGAGAGACGAGGGTCATACACCAACCTCGCCAAACTGAATTATGAAACAATGATGATACACTTATTTGAGACATCTTGCACAAAAACCACCCGTGGGATGAGAAAAACAGATTTTGCACATATTACTATTGGTATGAAGATGAAGTAAGCCTAGGCACCAAGTGCATACAGAGAGAGAGAGAGAGAGAGAGGTGGAAGATAGTTTTTCAGTTTCTTGTGGTACAAATTGCATAAAGACCAGAAGGATTAAAATACTAAAAAGTTATAATTACCATCCGAAGGCGAAAGGAGAGGCAAATTTTGCCATTGAAGTGCATATTTCCTTACCTCAAGCCAGACACATTGTGACCAGATCCATTATTTGTTATAATGAACCTACAAGAAAAGGCATAAAATCAATTTGTTTAACTTGAAAGCTCTTACAAAAGTGGGGACTCAAAAGGCCTTAAATGATACACACAAAGTAAGCATGATAATATCTCATTAAAACATATAGCGATATAAGGCCTTAAAGTTCATGTGAATAAAATTAAGGTACCCTTACAACTTAAAGGTTACAGAACAGGTTGAGACAAAAAAAATAGCGGAACACAACAGTCAAACCAATATACCCACTTTCAACTTTCTTTTGTTGCTCTAGAAGACTAAAGTTAAGATAATCAAATCACTTAAGCTATATGAGACACAACTAGCTGTTTCGCTGGAACACCATCTCATGAAACAGAATCACCTGGTAATCTCGCGAGTAATCAAACTTTTAGTCAGTTTCATCCAGAACTATCATTTAGTTAATAGCACATGAGACATCTATTTAAAAGCTGACCTATAAAATACACACTAAGAAAATCTTAGTTTAAACCACACATAGAAAACTCAGTTGCAACCAGAACTAGAAATGCCACAAAGATTAAAAAGCTCAGCAATCCTACCACTCTCCTTGCAGGTCTTGACTGAATATGAACAAGAAATTAACTTTAGTTAACCATACTTACGCCAACACTGTGAATACAAGGATCGCCACCAGAATGATGCATAACATGATCAAATACTGCAAACCATTGAGTCAAGGGAAGTCCAAACAAGGAAACTAAAAAGAACAGAAGCAGCATAAAATATCGATAACTCAAAGTTATATTAAGGATACAATCCATAATAGCATCGTGTTCTTCTTCACTGCCCCCACGAAACCGATTATGGATCTAAAATTCAAAGACAAGAATTGTAATTGCAACTTTCTATGCAATAATAAGAATTAGAGTAATCAGAAACAACATAGTGATCAAAACTTACATTATAAAAATGAAAGCACCAAGGCCTAGGACTGGGAGAGTAAGGGATTTTCGACATCCATCATGATGAGTGCTCATCCATACCCCAAAAATTACAACAGCTAGAGCTAAAAGCTGCCCAATGAAAGAACCTTTTTAAAAAAGGGCATATATTAACTTCAAAAGGACACAAGATTCACATATAATCATCTTCAATTTTTCTCATTCACTTCTACTAGAAATTGACTACAGCAGAACCATTTAAATGAGCAGAGGCTTAGAACAGATTGAAAAACAGTATTTTGCAGCAAATTTTTACAATGAGGTAGCCAACCAGGTCAGTGTTCAAGAAAATTGAAGAGAAAACACCCAACCAAATTTAGAAATAAAATAACAGCATCAATAAGAATTAAGAAACCAACAAATGAGACGAACCCAACAGGAAAAGAAAAACTTCATTCTAAGAATGAAAGCTGGCATTGTGACCCATAAAAAAAAAAAAAACACATTTAGGATAATCATAGTAAGAAAAAAATCCTAAAAGAAGAGCATACCATTGTAAGAAAGTTGACCCATCTGATCACAAAATTGCTTGATCCCATACCCATTTTCACTTTCCTTTAAAGACACAATATACAAACAAAAGCACAAAGAAAAAAAAAAAACCAACAAAGAAAACACTGGTGAAGTTGGGTTTCCAAAACTTTCTCAGTTAGAAGAATGATTTTTGGAAATATATATACAAAAGAATAGAAGTTTAGAAGCTTCTTGAGGAACTCTGATATGGCACTTGCATTGCAAGAAAAGAGAGAGGCGCAAGGCAAGTAGAATGAGGTTGTCTAGCTGGGGACAGAGAAATGTGAGGGCTGAAAGGCTGAAGCGAGTGTGAAAGGGTAGTTTGGTCAATGAATATGCACATGGCTCATGTTTTTGTCGGATAACAGAAAGCAAAGCTTATTGTGCTTGTATAATCAGCCTCTATGACAATATCCAACAACAACGAAAGTATCTTAAAAAGCCTTTCACCAGCCAGATATTACATCGTTGACGGTTGCAGTTACATAGATTCTTGCGTAGAATAAGGTTCCACGTATGGCTTTTGTCTCTTGTCAGGTCAATATAGGTATTTTATACCACTCCAATATTTTGACCTTTTTTTTCTTAATTTACAGTTACTTTTTTCACATCTCGTCCCTGTTCTAATCTTTTTTTATGGGACATGAAACTCTCGGTTCAATACTTTGTATTATTACAAATTTGGGAATGTGATTGTGGCATTTTGCTGTCGTAACCGCTAGGATATAGCAGTGAAGCCGGGCAGAAAAGTGGGTCTAAGGTGCTGATAGAAATCAGAAGCAATTTAAATCATTTTAAGCTGAAACGTAGACTCAAAGGGAAAATTTGTCCCTGCTGACTTTATTGCCAGTAAGGACAATCCAGCTATGACTCGAAAGCTTCGTCACTTTGCCATTTATCCCATTTCAAAAACTCAAGGATCTCAATAATGTGAAGATAAGAACTTACTGGAAAATTGTTTATGAACAAAAATTAAAGAAACTAAACCAGGAAACATTGCCATCCCAAAAGCCATAAAATTACATAACATTACAGGTAGCTGTTTACAGTGCTATTCTATCGGACATTAATCCAATGTTTATGTAAGTTGAACTCTGATGTAAAGAACATAAATTTTTTGAAAAGAAGATACATTGCTTATGTTTTCTGTTGCAGCACGAAAGAATGTGCCGATAATGATACTTGCCATTTTAAGGGATGAACAAGAAAATTCAAGCAATCCTCCACCCCGGCTCCCCTCGCTTTCTGTTCTCTCTCTTATCCTCCTGCCGAAAGTGCCTTTTGGAGATCAAAGTTGGGGTTCCAAATTAGTTAGAGTCGGATACCAATAGGATGAATAAGACTCGGGTAAACCAGAAAGCAAGAACCCTATACCACTCTATTTGTGCATGATAGAATTGTAGATTTCATTTCTTCCTTATCCAATGATGCTTGAACAATGACCTGCCAAAACAGAAGATTTGTCATCCATATCTCCACTGTTTACAGCATTTTGGATAGAATAATAAGGTTGAATTTATTTAAAAAAAGGTTGTATTAAGAACCAAGATATTTGGTGAAATAGGAAACAGAAAGAATTTTCACAGAAGGTCCTCAAAAGTTTATGTACATTAGAATTGCATTTTTGGATTTAGGGTTTTGGCTTATCCTTGTCTAACTGCCTTGTAAAAAATGCCAGTATGACAGATCTATAATCTCGACTAGAAACATCACACTTTACAGGTGTTGGGAAATTTAGACCTAACAATGCACAAGGTGCAAAATCATTAACGTTCAAGAGTCAAACTGATATAAAACCAAACAACTAAACAGTGGTTTGAAAATTTTAAATGATATATATATATATATATATATATATATTCATAAGAGGGAAGTTTTCAATTGGAAAGATTAAATCCCCCAATTGAGAGTTACAGTGGATAGTAGCCAAAGCTTGGAGACCATGAAAAACTTTACCTCTTGCACTTTGTTTCCAGATCGAGCAAGTAACTTATATTGATTCTCAAACGTGGATGCCATATAGACCTGAAAAAAAGATAGATTGGAAGCAGATAATTCACAATTGAGTCTGAAAAAAGAGACTGACCAATTTCTTGAATAGAAAAAGTTTCAAGTGATTTCAATTGCATGGTTCCGCATCCACAATCTCAACAAATGCCAGGGTTTGAACATTGAGGCTTCTATTATGAAGTTGATAATGAAGCCTAGAATTGAAAGATAGCAAAACTTTTGGCAACTAAATGATGGAACAGTTATGAAGGGCAGCTGATGCTGATTAAAGGATTGTAGAATTATTTAGGAATTATTCAGTAATTTTGTATTTTTTAGGGTTCAGTTGTAATTATGTAGATTTAGCCATTTAGGGTATTTTAGATTACTATATAGGCTTATAGGCTTGATTCTTTACCAAATACTAGGTACTCTATACATACCTATATTATTTTCAGCTTCAGTTAGCTCATAATGCTGACTGAGCTGTTACTCATAATTCTCTCTCCATTATGTTTTTCATACCTGCTCTACATTACACAGCTTTTCAACAGAGATTACAACCATTAAGTGAAAATTCATTTATCCTCGTCAGCAATTCGAGGGCTCAACTGATCCAAAGGTTTGAATCAACAAAGCCTTCTTTTAAAAAGTTGGTAATAAATTCTGGCATTGAAAGATTAAAAGCTTTTGGCAGCTAAAAATCCAATCTGGCTCTTGAGAAGAAGATTTAAGGGTAATGGTGGTTTTGTAATTTGTCAAGTGAGGAGAAAGAATAAAAATAAAGCCATTTTTGAATTTACTATCCAAAATATCAAGGCAAACATGGAACAAGAAAACAACACATTATTATTGGATTGGTTGTGGTATTATTGAATGTGCAGAATGGATATTAGCAGGTACATGAGCTCATTCTTTTCTCAAGTTTCAACAAATATGGACATACATTAAAGAAATAGCATTCAAACAAATGTCTACTAAGCAAAACTGATAATCCAGAAATCAATAAGATCTCTCAAACCAGAGGCAAAATATGAGCAGATACATTTGATGCAAATTATTATATTTAATCCTCACCAACTTTAGCCTACTGCATTTAGTTCATACAAAAGCAGCCATACCTGGAATGTTGGAGCTAAACCAGGACTCAAGAAAAACCGGCCCTTTGAAACTAATTGAACACCTTCAATCTGTTGCAATTCTTTGATAAGTGATTCTACATCAGGCCACTGTCAATATTTAATATCAGTGTCTGAGGATTAGCCATTGCAAGCATGTAATAACTAATACTAGGACAAAAAGGATAACATAGAAGATAAGAATCTACTGTCACAGGGTATAAACAAAAACCTCAGCGTCTGCTTGTGCTTCTTGTAATCTTCCATCTAAGTTATCATGATCACCAACCACAGACTCCAAGGCCTCAATCAGTGGATCTGGCTGTCATGGGACAATAGAATAAAAAGGATCACAATATAATAAAAAAAGGCCTAAAACAACTTAGGAAATTATAAAATTAAAAGACCTAGTAGCTTGTTGATTACCGTTATCTCCTTCAATGATAAAAATATACGCTCAAGTGTAAAATCCAATTGGTGAACTTTTGCCTCGACTATCTGAAATCATGAAAATCATCTGAAAATTCAATTCCAGGCATAGAGAGGGTAGGTAGATAAGAGCATGGCCTACAAGAAATAGCTTTATGGAGTTCAGACACAAGCAAAGCACCAGGATGAAATAACAGATACGAGCACCCACACACCAAAAAAAAAAAATCTGTGAATGTCAACAGCTTCTAACCCTACCAGGTCTTTCTTTGCCATGCATTCCTTACTTAGAAGATAGGAGACTCAATTTGCTATTGTTTTAATCTGCCAGTAAACTCAAATACCTGACCGGTTTTGAAATATGATGCAGGATCCAAGGTGGCATCCCATGATACTTCAGTTTGGTGAATCAGAGCAGGTACACCTTCAACCTATATTAGCAAGATTAGATCACAATTTGAGTGAAAAAATATATTAAAGGATCTAGTGTAGCACAGACATGGGTGTTGTGGCTCCATGCCAAGTAGGCTTAAGTTCATAAAAAATTAAAAACAAAGCAAAGGAGCAAAAATCCGCATGACACTGTTCCAGGCTATAATTGCTTCCAGAAACTTCACTTTCTGAAAGAGCATCTATTATAGTAATTGCACAGATATTGTAACATTGCTGAGAAACCTGTGGCTGAGAGATCATTTACCTCCACAAATATACCAAAATAAGTGATTTTCTTGATGCAGCATTTTACAACATCCCCTACACGAAGTTTGGCCTGCAACAAGAAATGGCATAAGTGCTTGAAGAGTTTTTATCTTGTCAAATTAAGCACAGTCATGTTTTTCATTTGGAAATATTTTTTCAATTTCTCATTTATACGAAAAGAAAAATGTTAGACATTAAATATAATTTCCTTGAATAGTTGTTATTGCTGCAAAGAGTGAGAACATTTGAAATACACAAAAAGTAAGTATAAACACTGAAGATGAGCAAGAAAAACAAAGGAAAATTAAAACACAATGTAGCTACTCACCATAACATTTCTCTTTTTCTCTACTAACTCTTCCTTTTCTTTTGGCCTCAGAGAAACTATAAGTTTTCTAAACTTTCTGTCAGCCATTACCACATTCACTTTGACTGTCTGCAAAAACTAAACATATCAATATACAAAATGCAAATAAAAAAGACAATTTAAAAAAATCAATTTCTTCAAACCTGACCAACAAATAAGGACAAGAATTTAAGCTTCTCTCGATCATAAATACTCAACAAATCTTCCAATTTCATATCTGGTGAAAGATTTCCCTCAAAATGTTGGTTATTTTCTGACTCTGAGTTTGGATCCAGAGAAGAGTTCTTGCTCATCATACCAGCACTTCCAATGACTCCTAAATTCTGCTTATAAACAGATGGGTCTAAGCCCTTCTGTCTCAACCATGATTCAAAAGCTAAGAACTTCCAATTAACAGCTAGGTTGCGGTAAGGCAAAAATCCAATCAAAGAACCAAAAGATACCTATAAAATTGATGCAATAAAGTCAAAAGTTACAAAGAAGTACATGTTTGCAAATAGACATGACAAAAGGAAAAGGTTCACTTACAACAAAACCTCTCGTGCTAGAGCTTATTAACTCCACTTCTGCCCTTCTTCCAGTCTTACACAGATCTTCTACCCTGGTCCAATCACTATCCTACAATTGTATGAGATACCAAAAATGATCACACATTAGAAAGTGATACTTTAAAAATGTCCACTAATTACTTGAGGACAAAAAGGTCCAGTAAGCTGACCTCCTGAGGTGATACAGAAGGCAGACCACCATAATCTTCAGGACCGATGGGACCAGTTTCTGCTCTATTGGAGTTTGATGTTTCTTTCACAGATTGTTCTAATCTATAAGAGAGCAATTTGTTAATCACAACTTTAACAATTGAAGAAGAAATGTCCTAATTTGAAGAATGAATTTGACACCTTTTTGGCCTCCCTTGTAGTGCAGCTTCCATAGAGAGATTAAAGCCAGATTCCACAGTAGACACCCCATTACTTAGCTCAACTGGCTGCATTCCTTGAAAAGCCCAGAAAAATATAAATTTCAATATTTCAGATTGAAGGGTTTCTAAACTTCTTAGATAAGGTAAAAGATGGTAACTTATAAGCGCTTTAAAAGAGAAAGAGGACTCAGGTTGTTAATAAACCCCACCACGGTGACACTCAACACAATCAAACATAAACTAACTTAAAAGGAACTTCATGATATAACATGGTGCATTACCAATTATGGAGGCATCCTCTATCTCAGGTTTCTTAGGGATTGAGCTATGCCCTGCTTCTAATGATTCTTCAATACAACTCTCTGTTGTATTAGCCAGCATGTTAGCTTCCAGCTTTGCTTCCAACCTTTCTCCCTCAACTTCTAAATCTTCAAATTGCTCTTCTTCTTCTCCAATCTTTATGTTCACACTTACCAGTTCAGGCTTTTTTAATAGCGTAAAATCACCACTTCTATCCACCACTTCTTTCTCTTTCTTTGGCCCAACACTATCATCAATAACTTGTTTTTTATTAAGGCTTGTATCAACACTATCAACACTCATCAATTCAGGCTTTCTCAACAAAGTCATATCACTATAATGTTCCTTTGCCGTTTCATTCCTCATTTTGAGGGACAAATTTGATTTCATCCTAAACCTGGACGGCCTATCTTCCACATCATCTTCATTAACCACAGTTGGCTTTCTCAAGATAACATTTGGAAGCCTCCTCTCTTTTGGACTATCAATAGCCTTCTCATCTGACAGAGTTGGACTCCTAATCTTAGATACAGCCGGCTTATCATCAGCTTTAAACTTGACTCCCTTCTTCGGAACAGGACGAACTAAATTTAAACCATCAAAAGATGTGGTGGGTGATTTCTTTTCAACATCAAAAGGAACCTCCTCTACTTCCACTATTTTACCCTTGTTCTTATAAAATGCTTTCTCAATTTCAATATAAGATGCTTCGGGATTTGCCTTTCTACCCATTATCTAAAAAACCAAAACGCAATAACATAAAAAAAAAAAAAAAAGCTGTAAAGAAGCAATCTTTTTTAACAATTAGAAAATAGGTACTTAAAAAAACAAAAATTTTCTCTAAATTGAGCATAAAAATATAAAAATAAAAAAGAGTGAGAAAAAGCGTGCCTTGGCATGGGTGAGTTTGGGGTCTTCACCAAGCAAGCGGCCAAACTTGACCTCCATTTGGTCCCATTCGTCAAGCTTTGGCTCTTCTTTCTGCGCAGAAACCCTTTTCGCCCTTCTTCTCACTCGTACTCTTGATACTGATACGGAAGGAAACAGCAAAAACTTGTTGACAGAGAAGGAATAAGCAGTTGCTGTGGTAGCGGTGAAGCAAGCTAGACCGTCCATTTATAAAGCGAAAGTAAAAGCAAACTGATCAGACGGCGTTGAGAAGCATTGTAAAACTGTTGAATTTTGAAGCCTGAGACTGAAAATTGAGCTTTGGTGGTGATACAGCGGCCTCTTGGGAATGGGGAAGTGAAGAAGATAAGCTACATTATCTATCCATCAGGTAACGCCAACGTGGCAGTTTAATTTAACAACCGCTATATTCCTCCACGTGAATCAATCTGCTAGTGTTTTCCTTTCTGTTTTAGCGAAAGCAAATTTCTGACACGTGTCATGTAGAGGCCACGTTAATTTTTACAGTGAAATTCCAATTTAATTTTCGGGCCTTAATCCAATGTCCCAATCCAAAACCTAATGTTGAATTCGATTCAGGGTAGACTTATTAGAGAAAAAGGATTGATGATGGAAAAAATATCAAAAGATGCGATTTTAAAATTAAATAAAATTAAATAAAATTTAAAAATAAAATATTTTTATATTAAATATTTTAATATAAATTATAATTTAATAATTTAATATTTTATATGTTAAAAAAAATATTTAACTACATAAATGGTCTAAATTGTATTAGGCAGGGCCCTAAATTGGGCTCAATTCGGGCTCAAGCAATTTGGAATCTGTCTTCTTTTCCCGTGTTTTTTTATTTCTGCAATTATAAAACGATAAATATTTTATAGAGTCAAATTATAGTATTAATAGGGGAGAAAGTAGGGATTTGAACGAACATTTCAAGCAATTAAAAAGTGATTCCTCTCATTGCAAAGGCGATGCAACGGTGAAAGTATGAACTCTGAAAGGATTGCCCATTTACACAAACCCCCCCTAGGTCACATTACAGTCAAAATTTGTCTGCATACAAGGATGATTTTCCATGAAATGTAAACCAAAATCATATCAATTAGAATGACATTAATTTGAACCAACAACTTGAATTTGCTAGCAAATCCAAGAACTGGGAGACCCTGGAGCCACAGGAACTTTCCTCATGAGACTAGAGCGAAAACAGAACAAGGTCAATACCCAGTTCGGATAAAGCCCTATGTCCCCTGAAGGTTCAGCGAGTATTCTATTGCTGGTCCTGTGCAAAAGGTTTATTAGATTTTTCTTCCGCCTCTGCTTCTGCTTCTGGTTTTGGCTCATCTTCTGGCTTTGATTCTGATTCGGATTCAGCATCAGATATTCCTTCGAGTAAAGCTCCTGTTGAATTTTTCTTCAGAGAAGCCGCCTTGGTAAGATAACTGTAGCTGCCCTTCTCCTTGAACAACTGAGCAAAGTGGTGCTTGCAGTAGATGATGCCATCCAATGCAGCATATGACGATGGTGTAAGGAAGCAACCACCACGAGAACACTTGAAGCAGGATTTATGGTAGATTTCTCCCTCCACAGTCACCTGGTATTGTTTTAACTCAAAATGATCAGTTTTATTCATCCTGAATTTTGTTAGCTTATTAACATACACAGTCTATATTGGGTTCATTCAATCAATAAAAGGTACCACCCACTCAAATGAGTGATACTGGAGACCACCCTTTCTTTTTCTGTTTGTGGTAAATAAGATTAACTAGACTCAAAATGAGAAACAGACAGATCAAGAATCTAATATCAGACCTTCTCTAACGGGTATGCGGTTTTGTTACAGACTCCACATTTATCTTGTGTGCCAGAGAAGAAGGATGCAAGTCTACTAGGAGCCCTTGCCTGCGAGTTAAATAAAATGAACATTAATTGTATCAAAATAATCTTTGGGCATCTACATTGCAAATAAAATAAAGTTTAATGCAATGGTGGGAGAGAATTTGAGTACCAATCCATTTGGCTTGTCGGAATTCCCAGCTGAAAAACCATCAAATAAGCAAAAAAATAATAATAATTGTTAGCTAAAATGAAAATTGAAACAACGAACTAATGCCCGAACAGGTGGAGAGAACTGGTTTGGAAAGGAAAGGGATCTCACCTTGAAATTTCTTTGTATAACTGCCAGTCTCCTTGAAGAGTTGCTCGAAGTGAGGCTTGCAATATAGGACTCCTTCCATTGAGCAATAGCTGCTCATCTGTAAAAAAAAAGTATTGCGACCAAGACATTGGATTGATCAAGTTTCAATGCTCTATAATTCAAAGAAGAAGAAGAAAAAGACACTTTCCCCCACATATATTATCATAGATGTCGCTGGTTAACCTTTTTTTTATTCATCCAATCTCAATTTCATGAAAGCAGAAAGTTCATCAAGTTTTGACTGCCTTATGATCAGCAATTAATTTATGAAATTTCAAAATTCTTGCATAGGAAAACAACAATCAACATAGACATACCACCAGAAGTCCATTGCAATGGCTGCATTTGAAGCAGGTCTTATGATAAGAAACCCCATCAGCTGATAATAAATCAATAAAATGAACAGTCTTATCACAGGCCTTGCATTTCTCTGTTGTCCCACTGAATGCCATTTTCCTCTTGTATTATAATTTCAAAAGCAAATACAACAGAGCAGTTGCAAGAACAAAAGAAAGGGTTTTCTAGAGAAAATGTTTGAAGGAAAGACAACAAGAGTTCTGATCTCTATCTCAGAAGATTGGGATAGAAAACGAACTCGGAAAATTGTCTATCGTCTTTCACCTTGCTTCAGCGAATGTTATAAGGCACATTTCAGGGTCAAAAATGTAATGGAAAAACAAGTGGAGGATATGAATCAACGCTTATTAAGGATACGCAATCAAAGGTCCACCCCTAACTCGTTGGCATATATAAAATTCCGTGCTCTAAGAATAGGGTCATGCTCCGTGGAAGGGCATAGATGCAAGGTTTCCTGCTGACCAAGTTTTTCAAGGATGATAGAGATCTGAAAGTACAGTTTACAACCTGATCACAGATAATCCACTCTTTTATACATGGTGACATATGAATATATATATATATATATATATATATATAAAGAAGAATGTCCCACTAGAAATTACAACTAGATTTATGAAAATAGGATTAAGTATCTCTCATATATATATATCTACACACAGATAAATTGATGTACACGAGTATTAGATTAGAATGCCCCACTTACAATTACAAACCAACTGGGGGAGAGGGAAAAAGGAAAAAGGGGGAAAAAAACAATTTTCTCTCCTTTGAATATCAGTAAGGATGTTAACTGCCGAAGCATCCAAGAAATTTCTTCGGTGTATATCCAGTTGCACGAAATATCTCTGCTGTCTCCTCTATCTTGAGAAAATATTCTCCTCTCTTGGCCTCTATCACTGCTCTTTTTTCTTCTGCTTCCTCCTGGATTTCAGCCACTTTGTTTTTCATTTTCTCACCATACTCAGCCTTCTTCTTTTCCAGTTTTTCCTATCAAAATAAGACCTTCGTTAAACACAGTACCCATAATCTCTAGAACTTGTTTTAATACAAGCTATTTGTGCTTAAGAGTTCAATATTGTACCGTTAATTCGTAAACTAGGGACTGATCTAGTACAGAATTTTACCTCATATTTCTTTAGCTGCGCTTCTACACCGGCTTTCTTGGCATTCTCCCATGATCCAATAGCAGATATCTTCTTATGTGCCCTGATTTAACATTTTCAGCATTATAAGTTGCTTAAATCAAGTATGAGGACTCATAACATAAATGGGTATTGAAATCATTATGAAATCAAATAAAATAAATCTCAGTCCAGAAAACTCTTTCTTCTCTATGTTTAGGGGTTAATGTGAATTGGCCATGGCTAAGAACTTATGCTGCATAAATCATAACTCTATCAGAGTTTTTTCAGCATTTATATACCAAAGATATGATGACTTTTTTTTTAGTACTTTTGGCTATTTCGCAGGATGGCAGAGACTGAAAAACAAGGAGCTGTACAAGTTTAAAAATGGCCTCTTACTTGTTTTCTACTTTTGCCTTTTCATTTTCCTCCCATGCTTTAATCAAAGCTAGTCTTTTTTCTGTCTCAACCCGTGCAAGCACAGAATCTGAAATAATGATCTGATAAGTCAATTATTTTGCAAATAAATGTACCATTTCCAAAGGACAGATGGTTTCAAATAAATGAGCATATAGCCATATACCTCTGTCGTTTGGACCTTTCCCTATAGCTGGTGCTGCTACAACTTCTGCCATTTTCAACATTTAGAGGTCAGATAATGTCATATCATAGGGCAGCCTATTAAACTGAATGGCTGAAAATTTCCCATTCCAATTAACCGGACTAATTAGACCAACTGACATTTCAATAAACATTATGGATTCTGTTTCAGGAAATGAAACATATTATTAGCTGCAAGTAATTTGCAAGGACATGGAAGCTATGGCATGTTTGTGAACAAGTTTGTCTGAGAATGCAAAAACTTGGCACAGAAAGAAAGAACACAAGGAAATACAAATCAGGCTAACATCTCTTCAGCAGAAGAGCAAATCCATTTAGCCACTAGTTTATGTATGTAGGTAGCATAAGCACTGATAAAACCAAAATGAAGTTCTAATGACAGAAGGCCCACAGAAAAACTGAAGAAAAGCATCCTAACTTGAATATTACCCTGCATATAATATCAAAGGGCAATAAGTAGGATCTCTTTCTCTTGCTTTTTGTAAGAGTAAAAGCAGATGTAAAAAATAGAAATATGAAAACCAAAACGAATCTTTAGCATACCCTTTTCCTTTTCAAAATAACTTTTGACCGCATGCAGACAGCCTGATAATATCTTGTAAAAAATATATGCATAATTACAGTTTCAGTGTAAAATGAAGGCCCAAAATTGATCAGAGCTCTAAAAACAAAATCAACCCAAGATATTTTCAGGTTGCCATGAGATCCCTAATGCAAAAATCACACAAAATAAGCAAATTTCAATGAAATAAAGTTGATAAAAACATCACAAAATCACAATAGTACTTAGGATAAAAAAATGAAGAGTGTAATGGGATAAAAACAAACAAAGAATCAGTCTTTGTAAACTCTGAGAGAAAGCATACGTTCAGGAACCGGGATCAGACTCTTCTCTTTAACTACGTCACTCTTTGCTGCATCCATCTCTTCCTTAACAGGCTGCTGCAGCTCCTTGGGTACAGAGGCTTCCATTTTGCTGGCTTCCTCCTCTCCCATAACGTATTCCTTTAACTTAGCCACAGATACTCCACCAAAAAGAACACTCAAAACATAAATTTCCCTCTTCTGGTAAAGACAGATTTTAAGCAACAGCAAAATTAGCAAAGATACAGAAAATAAAGAAAGAGAAACCCTTTGGAAATGTCTGCTGGAAATTACTTGGTGGTTGTGGTTGGTATAAATAGAAGTTAAGTTCTGACAGAAAAAGTGATTGGTTTTGCATTCTTACTTTATATAAAATTTTGTACAGGTAGCTTTCTTAAAGAAAAAATATCATCACACGACAGTTTAGAAGAGAAAATATTTGTAGCTTTTGTGTAATCACAAACCGAAACAAGAAGCAAAAAAAACTGAGTCAAACTGTGTTATTATACAGATTCCTAATCAAGATTGAATTGTTCAATTTGTTCTCATTTTCAGCTTTGGAAGTGATGTTTGATTGAAATGGAAATGGGTTCGTGTTATTTCGAGAAAGAACCTAAAACCTGGTACGTAATTGGTAGGTAATTATGAATTTGTGATGGTCTGCCGCCATAAAACTTCTTTAAGTTCTTACGGATATATATGTTTGTTTCCTTCACGATCACGATGTAGGTAAGAACTACAGCTACTGAAGAAGGACAGTACATTGAAAGATAAATTATTTAGGCCAACGATACAAGGGACAGCTAGGTTCATCATTGATGGTGAAATGCCATAATATTTTCCTGGAAAGACTAATTGTGGAGGAAAAAAGGAGAAGATCCTAAGCCACGAGATTGTGACCATCTCGATCGTATACGTACATTATTAAAGGAGCAAATGTACAATACTGGCTATCTAAGTACTTATGTAAAAACAACAGTTGATTAATACAAGTGATTGTTTATTATAATATCGTCAAATAATGTGATTTAAGTATTTCTTGCTACCCTGAAATGCCCATTGATAGTTCTTGTATTGCTGTAGAAAATATAGTATTCCCCATATTGTAACAAATGCCGTCCGACCAACGTAAAAAAATGTTGTAGCAAATTGCAAAAATGGATCTGATGAACATTTTACAGATGTCGATTTGCTTCCAGCCGACCAGTCGTCAACTTCCTGTCTGTCCCCATTTGCATAACTCTCCAAGGTTGGTATATGGGATTGTTGCACCAAAGTTTTCAAATGTTAATCCATTATGAATATTCCCAAAAAAAAATTTGAGAAATCTTGAACTCTTTTTCCCTAAAATCTTTTAATTTCATTAATTATTTATAAATATGAAACAGGAACATTAACTCAAAACAAGTGAACGTGCAAATTAGTTATGAGCATTGCCTCTCAATTGAAGTTGTCACATTATTATTGAAGCCCTACTGCACGGACCACAATCATGACATGGCAATCGTTGGACCTTGGTCTCACATGTAACGAAGAAAGAGTTGGTGAATTTTCTCACCATATTGAAGCATCCATCTGAAATGGGTTTTTCTTCCATCTTAATTTTGGGGTGACAATCCATAGGAATCCAAATTTCTATGTGCATGACTGATGGTTAAAGAAATCATTTTTATTGGGGAAAAAAAATGATTTCCCTGTCTTGCATTCTTGCAAGAATAATTACTGTCCAACAAATGTCTCCAGAAGCAGCCCACGGCAAAGATATGACTCGTTGTTTAAAGCTTGAACACTATTAAAATTTTAATTAGCTATCTAAATTAATTAAAACCCGTTTGATTAATCTGATTAATCCTTTCTACTTTTTACATTATCCGAATATTACTCGCCTTGAATTTGGTGAACCTTTATAAATTATATTATCCAAAAGAAATCAAATAAACCGACCACGGAAGGCTTTTGACTCATGGAGTAATGTATCAGAATCAGATCCTCGTCGTGTTCAAATTCATTTCACTATTAACTTATTTAATTTATTGTTCTTAATTGCATTCTTGAATCATATGTAGAAGAAACCAAAAGAAGAAGAAAATGCATGTGCTATGAACCTCAAAGACTTAGATGTTTGACTGTGGAGACCAGACAAGTAGGGCCAAGCTAAAGTCTCAAATTAACCTGTGCCAATGTCTAATGCTAATCACACATTTAAAAATCATTTTTTGTCAAAGAAACAGAAACGAAAACAGGCAACAGGGACAAGTACATCATATACTTTCAGTTTGACACTTGTCCGACGGTCCCCACACATGCCCTTGTGATCTTGTCTTTCACTCTTTTTCCCAAGCGTTACACCAAGCTGCTTAGAGTCTAACAACTTTTTGAAAACCATTGCGCCTTGGAAGCCTCAGAACCTGAAAAAAGGCAGCTTGTTTAAACAAAAACATGGGACCAACGCCCATGGTATCCCCCAATCTCTTCTCCTATAAATATATTTCAGGTCTCACAGCATTTTCCGTGTGTTAAAATTCATTACACTTTGCGTTCTCCAAAGTTTCTGTCACCTTATTTTTAGGAAAAATCATACTATTCGGGAACAAATCAAATGGATGTGTTTATTCCCGAAGAGTATGTTATAAGGAGAAGAATTGAGAAAAAAGCAGCTTCCATTGCTGGAAAGAGGCAAAGTATGGTGCCGGAGGGAAGCAAGAAAATGGACAAGGAGATGAAAAAGTCCCAGCTGCCACCGCCATTTCGACAACTAGACAGCACTGAGTTCTTGGTCCCTGGTGGGATTAGTGAACATGTAGTTTTCAGTTGCTTGTCAGCCTAATTTGATGGCCAAAAGATGAAAGTAAACTGAAGTTGTCTCGAATGTGTTTAATTAGAATTAACGTCCTTTTTTAGTGTATGTTATTACATATCATAAATATATGTCGATACCAATTTAGTTCTTCCTATTTGTTAATCAGTTCCTTCTGCTTTTCTCTCTTTTTTTTTTTTTTTTATTAAAGGCTGCAGTTCTGCCTTTTGTTTAAAAAACAAAAAAAGTCGTATACACATGTATTTAGATTTGAATTATTTGAACTTCGGATTTGGTTGAATTTCGAAAGTCTGCTTCTTTCCTCTTTGATTGATTTGACAGTGTGAGCTACATTGTCTAGCTAGGGCGTGCAGCTTGCATTAGCAGCTAGGTCACAATCAAGATTTCAGTTCGCTTAGTTGGGTTTGGAAGATTATTACTATCAAATTAATGATAAAAAAAACTTGTAAAATGCATGTACAAGCAGTATGCGAACTATTTATAGATTGTGAAGATAGGTATCATAGAATCTGTTTTTCATTCATTATTAGCTGCCTGGGCTGGTTGTCGTGGTTGTGTTTGTTGATTTGGGCCCATTTGTTGAATCTATATTGGGACTAGGGTTGAAAAAGAGGGGTGGGATGGGCTCATCAGTGTCGACGTAGAGGAAAAAGTACGGTTCGTTTGAAACTTATTGACTTTTATCTTATGGACACATTCTTGCCTCAGCCCAAACTACCTTTTTAGTTCTCAGGCCCTAAAAGGCTATCTTAAAGCCTTCATGTTTCAACCCATTTAATTAAATTTTAAATTTCAGAATACCAAGATTTTGGACATGAAATTTCAAAATCATGAAATTCTGTTTCATCAATGATGGTGGCTAGTACGTGTTAGATATGATAATTTGATATGGTAACATAATATAAAAATGATATGAATAAAGAATATAAAAATAACATAATTTAAAATTTTAAATATAAAAATTATATGAATAAAAAATACAGAGATAACATGATTTAAATTTTTAAAAAAATCATAAATAAATTCAATAAAATTAAAAAATTATATTTTATATTTTTATATTAGTATAAACTGTGATATGTGATTTTCGTGTAAAATACGATATAAATATAATATTTTATATAACATGATTATACGAATTATGATATTTAATACTTGCTATTCAAGTAGTATAATTTGTATTTTAAAATATAATAAAAATTCAAAATTAAATGCTTAAAAGAAAAATTAAGATTCTAATTTTGACATTTTTTGTAATACTATTGAAAATTTAAAATTATTTTAAAAATCATATCCGTAGATATCAAAAATAAATCTTAAATTCTCCTAAAGTAAATACCTCCTTAAACTTATTTGAATGTGCGACACGAGAGACGTGTTGTGCATGCTGAAAACGATTAAAATATGCATTTAAAGGAACTTAACCTCCTCTTAAATCATGCAGTACGTAAGTAGAGAGAGAAAGACAAAATTTCTAATCAATACTTAAAACAGTTAGGCATATATGCACGTAGTTTTTGAAAAATTCAATATGAGATAAGTGAGATTTTAGTCATACGAACGAGATGGTAATAGGTTAATATTTTAAAACCTTTTATATAAAAAAGAAATCATTATTAATTATAAGTGATACCATACATAATTAATAAATTTTTCATAATTGGATATTAGGTATGCTAATTATATATCATTTTTCAACCTAATTCTAGGAGGTATCCATCTTTGAAAAGATGAGAAACTGCGAGTTAATCTTTGGATTCTCCAAATAATAATCTTTAAAGAATACCAAAAAATGTTATGAGTAAGTTAAAATTGTATATTCTCCCCTTTTTTTTATTTAAAATTGACAATAAGTAAAAAAAAAATTCAATTTAAATGTAAGATCACAATAAATTTAAGATTTAATAAATTTGAAATAATATCAATCATTTTGATAATTTTCAAGAAACGAAGACATAAACTATTATGTAATAATCTTATAAGGGGTAATAGATGTAAGTAATAGATAAAAATAACATAATAGAACGTGTATTTTAATATCATATTAAAAATTTAACTAAAAATAATTAATAATAGATAGAAAAATTCTTCTTAATTCTTAAATATAAAACCACAAAAAATTCAAAGCTTAACCTATATGTGATAATATCATGCTAAGAAGATTTAGATTTATTTGGGGACTTCTTACAAATTTGTACAGGCATTAACGGGGAGAGGGAGAAGGAGAGAGAGACCTATGATGATTTGGAAATATCCATTTCCAAAGGAGCAGCTTCCACAGAGTTTCCAGTGTCCGATACCAAGTTGAGAAGAAAATCAAATATATCAGTAGCTATAACAGCTGAGGTAACATCCTCTTTGTTAAGCGTTCTCCTCTTGCCTCGCATTGTGACCATCCAAGATCTTTGCGTAAGCTCCTCGATGAACAGCTCGCAAGCCTTGGAGAAAACAATCGGAGCCTCCCCAGATATCATCTTAACATCGTCGCCAGACTTCTTCATGATCTTCTTGATCCTTGCCAAGGGCAACAAATGAGGCCCTGTTCTCCCAGATATTCCACCCGACAGTATGCCCGAATACGTTCTTGCTTGCCTCATACTTGCAAGCCGGTGGAAGTTACTTTGACAAAGAGATAACTTTGTGAAGTGAATAAGATTCCAATGGTGTAATTTGCTTAATTATATATATAAGTGAGAATCATGTGAAGGGGAGCGTGGTAATGGAGGCCGGCTAGCCTGCTGAGGCCGGCAAAATCCAATGAAATTAGTAATTTAATTATGGCTGCTGATAAATGACTTAGGATCAGTTAGGATGTCATATGCCTAATTAACGGTCAAAGAGAGCCGAGGGTAAGCACATTGGCATGTATAGTATGAGTTGTTAGAATACATTTTCATGGAACTGTAAGGACAAATTGCTACTTTTAGTGTGACAAATACAAATAGAATTATAAAATAACAAAATCTTAATTTTGTGATTGGAAGTTTTTGCCTTGAAGCGAAAGGGGTTCGGTTGAAACTTGATCTAATATTCAAATAGGTCGGATTGGGTCCACTCCAAAGCTTAAATATATAATTATTACTGGCACTTGAATATGTAAAAATCATTCAAGTAGTAAGTGTGGATTTTGTTTAGAATAATAATAACGTGTTTCAATGGGGATCTTGTTTAACATCTCATTAGGTCGACTATAATCATTTATATAACTAGAAATTATAGTCACCTCGATTTCGTGTTTTCCTTTTTATCTTGTCTGTAAAAAATAATAATAATAAATAAAAAGGTACAGATAGATACTTATAAAGTCATCCATAGAGCCGGATTTACTGGAATCTTTACAATGGAACTATAGTCTGATTTGTCAAGGTTGCCCTTCGTTGGGAATGAGAGATGATACAAGCACGAGCTTGAAAAAATCTAAACTTTTTGTTGGCAGTTCAACAGGCTAGAGCTAGACCTGGACCCGGACCCAACCTTCTTTGATGATGGAGCTTCTCTCTCATGATGGCCCATATATAATGGTAGCAAAGATTGGATGCAGTCTACTTCTCTGATCTACAACTAGACCCATGTCTTTTATGCGAGGAAGAAGAAGAATAGTAAATCTTACATTCATTTGAGTGAATAGTAAGATTAATCTTGATGAAATTAAAAATTATAATTAATGTAAGGTTAATCATTGTAATGAATATAAGATTAATTATTATAATGACGAGATTAAAATTAACGATAAAAATATTTGTTTAGATTCAAACACAATAATAACGATGAAATGAGTTGCAATAAATAAAGAACTAATCATAATTAAACATATTAAATTAAAATTTATATATAATAATAAATTTATAAATTATTTAATATTAAATTTTAATTTATTATATAAATTTTGTTAATAAATAAAAAAATTATTTAAATTATTTGTTAATATATTATATAATAAAATTTAATTCATTATATTAAATTAATAAGTTATTTAATAATTTTTAATAAATAATCAAAATTTCATTTCTTTTGGCCAAAAAATTAAAATAAAAAAAATAAAGTGTTTCCTTAAGAGTGAAAATTACATACCTATTTATAAGTGTTTCCTTCCCTACAATGGTTTTTCATGTAAGATATAAAAAACTACAAACAAAAAAATCTCTTTTATAACTCATTTATTGTCCATTTTAAGTGATTAAAAGTTATATTTACAATAATATTTTTAAAACATTATAAGAGATTTTTAATATATGTTATGTGTACTTTTCAATATATTAATATTAAATTATGATTAAAATATTGTTAAAAAGATATTTAATCATAAAGTAGTCATCTTAAAAAGAATAAAAACAAAATATAACCAAATATTTATTAAATTTTTTCATAAATATAAACAAATAAAAATTTGTATTCGAATAATTTATTAAACAAATATTAAAATATTATTTAAAATTATTTGTTAAGTTTAATATATATATATATATATATAAAACAGAAATCGAACATATTCAGAAACAATTTATCAATCATTTACACCTTTAAACCTAAGCCATTTTTTCATTTCAGATATCTGTTGAGGGTCTATGTCTTAAGCAAGCAGAGAATGATCAGGTCGAGGTTCGGGGACCTCCTGTTTCGAAAGCCTTTAGGTTTTGGTTGCCTTCAAATTTTGTTTTGCTAAATGTTTTTCAACTAACGAAACTTTGATGTTTTGTCCAGTGATTCTGGTAGTTGGGCAGTACAACTCCAGTAGTATAGATTTTGGCAGTTCCATAGGAGTTTGTTTGTTTCTCCCGTGTATTTGATTTCTACCAATATGAAAACTGTTATGTACTGCTGCTAGCTAAAGCTTGAGCCCTGAGGGTTTTTGACACAAGGAGTTAATTATGGAATCTCTCAAGTAATCTCTCTCTCTGTACATCATGGAACATCTCATTGCATAAACGCACAAATGAATCCTTACATATTTCCATGTCTTGATAAGGTGCTTTAAATTCATGGCCAAAAATAATAATAATAAAGTGTGCTTTTTGTTTGGCTCTAGTATCTTATATTGGCAACTTACGGTTGTCATAAATCATAACTTAGCCTTTCAAGGTACAAGTGGAAATGCCTTTTATTTGGTAAATCCTTGTTGCATATCCTGATAATAGATAACAATATATAATAAGCTTATCCATCAGTGGATCCAAACATTGTTGCGAAGGATCAGTCTTGATGCCATTAAGTATATTTAAAGGAACCAGTATCTGAACATTGTTAGTGATATTCTATATTAACCTATTACCATAAGTGCTGGTTTAACCCACAGTAAGAATTCTGTTATGACATTGTTTTGGAAACTTCTTATACTTCTGTTCATCCTATTTTTTATGACTTCGAAAAATGTAAGGTTAAATGGACGAGATTATTTATTTGATTGTTGATTTCTACTATCAGTAAATTCTACATTTTTTTCGATATGGCGATTTTATCTGATGATTGATATTCCATCACCGTTGAATTGAAGAGATAGAAAAGGGCATAGTAAATTCAACAAATAAAAAAAAAAAAAAAAAAAAACATGGTAATCATGTGACATGCACATGTCATGCATGATAATTCATGGGTAGAGTTTTATTTTTGGCATTTTTATATATTTTTTTTTTCTTTCAATCTAATTGTTACTACTCTGAATAACAAGTGGATCGATAAGCTTTATACTTTGATGAATTTTAGTTTTTTTTTTTTTTTCAATAAGATTGTTGCGAACGTAACAATTTAATTAAACTATAAAATATTTTTGAAAGAATTTTATAATTAATTTAATATCTATAATTGAACTTGTGATAAAATAGAATAAATAAAATATTATTTTTAAATAATAATTTAATAATTCTTAACAAATTGATAATCAATAATCACCAATAACTTCTATGAAAAATAAGTTCCAATTGAGGTTGAAGCGCAGTGAGCCTTCAATTGAAAGAAAGCTACGTGCCCAATTGGGACTGTGGGGAATTCATACTTCAATTGAAGGTTACGTGGTAACTGAATAGGAAAGTAAATGTTAATTTGGAGTGAGGTTATATGCTGAGTAAACAAGTAAACAGGTGTTATATTCTTATTGGAGAACTCTAAGCAAAGGTATTTGTTATGTTATGCCCCTCGATAAATTTGATTGTTTTACTTTTTACTCTCAATAGTCACGCACTTCCCAAAGCATTCCCTTTTAAATATCTATACCTATATGAAAAAAAATTCCATTTCTTCTTTGACATTCGTCCATAAAATTATTATTTTATCTATGATAAAAAATTAATCACACACTCATTTATATAAAATAATTATTATAATTAAAATATAAATAAATAATCTCAAATTTTAAATAAAATAAAAAAACTAATTTTTACACTTTCAACCAAAAAAGATTAGCAAAAAATAAAAAAAAACTCTAAAAATAAAATTTAAGGTTTCATCCAAAAATTAAAAGAATCCATTTAAAAACTACAAAAGAGTATAATTTCCCGTGGTTAAAGAACACCAATTAAATTTTATGATAGAAAAAATAGCAAAATCACTACAATAAATTTTTTATTTCAAAATCAAAAATGAAAAAATGAAAGTTGAAGAGGAATTTTTTGGCAGGTTTAAGGAATTTTAGGTTCTATTTGTTTAGTAGAAAATAATTTTTAAAAAATGATTTTAGTATTTTTAGGTGTTTATTTGGTAAAAATTTGATTGATTTTATGAAAAATAATCTACTGGTCAATGAAAAATAAGTTGATTTTTTTGTAAATTATCTTATGAAAAAGATGTAAAAGAGTTGTAGGATTTTGTGAGATAGACACCCCATAGGAGTATTGGGGCTCTACGTCTTATGGGTGTGTATGTTTGTTTGTGAATGGACTAGAAGAGATTGAGAGGGTCCACATAGGTATGATGTATGAGAACATATAGGTATGTGTTTGATTGTGTTGAAAAGGTGCACAAGAGTTTAGGTTTGTGTTTGTTTGGGTAGAGAATATTTTATAGGACTAGAGGAGATTGAGAGTGTCTTATGAGTATTGATTGTTGAGTGTGGTTGATGATATGATGTATGTTTGTAATTCTCTACAACTAGTGGATCTTGTTTCTCATCCGTGGATGTAGGTCAGTTGGACCGAACCACGTTAAATTATTGTCTCTTGTGTGTTTGATTTATTGTTTGATTTCGCTTCCGTTGGTGTGATTGGATTGGAGGCTTTTAGCCCAACAAATGGTATCAGAGCTGTGGTGTTCCCCAACAAGTGATATCAGAGCTGAAGGTTCGAAACGTGAGAAGAGTTGAAGATTCAAGATGTGGAAAGAGCTGATGGTTCGAGACATGGGAAGAGTTGATAGTTCGAGATATGGGAAGCGCATGGTTTGAGACATGTGAAGAAGTAAGTCAAGAGGAGTTCGATTCAAGAAAAGAGTTCGAGTTCAAGTTTTGAGGATTGGTTTGTATGAAGCGTGAAGACACAAGAGAAGAGAAGATGATTGTGAGACTTTCATTGCAGGTGGAGCCAAGCATGTCTAGCATGAAGACAGATGATTGATGGAATTTGAGTCAAGGTGGAGATTGTTGGGAATATTGACTCAAATCCTATAAGAA